AGACCATCGAAAATATGTGTTTTCTGATGGTCTTAGGCGACCCCCGTGAAAGGGTCGTTTGACCCCCAAAGGGGTCGCAACCCACAGGTTGAGAACCGCTGGTCTAGACGCTGATGGTAACCACTTTGAGCACCTCCTATAATTGCAGAAATCAAACGTGACTTGTATTCATCTTTTGTTATCGGTATACATCGAGTATTATAATTTTAATACAGTTTTCCTTTCTTAAAATGTGTGTACATTTTTTTGGCACCCTCTGTAGATAAGAAGGCAGGTAGAGAGACCATTTCGGAGAATGTTAGCAAAGTGTTGACTGGAGATGACAGTGGTCAAGGGTAATAGCAGTAGAAATGGTGAGAAATGGTTGGAGTTGAGGTAATTGTGGAAATTGGGCTTACAGGATTTACTGTGAGATTGGATGGTTCCCAGGATTTGGGCCTAAGCAAATGACGGTGTTCTAGGTGGTTGGCTGAGGTGGTGTTCTTTACTAAAAGGAAGACAGCTGAGGATGGAATAGATATTTCAGTGGGGAAAAACAATTATTCTGTTTTGGCCATACGAATTTTGGAATGTTTATTAGACATCTTTATAGGGATGCTGAGAAGGTATTTGAATATAAGAGCTCAGGCCTATATATATTTTCCTAGACTTATTTCTCATCACTGGCTCTCATGGGTCTCTATGTCCCAGCCATACTGAATACCATAGACTTTTTCTCTCCCGTCCCCCTTTTTTTCATAAGCTGCTTCTTCTCTCCAATGATTGAAGTAAGTTTAGCCTCAGAAGGGGTTCAGCAATAGAGTTCTCTCTTTGTTAGGGTATTCCTGGCAATATTTAATAAAAATCTTAATCCTACTACTTCTCAACCCAGGAACCTTTAAAGTCTCTTGGGGCTTATCTCAGTGCTCTTTCTGGCTTGCCTCGGGGAAAGGACTCTAATCAAGAAGCCCCATTACCTCTTTGTTATCTGTGGTATGTTTTGGTCTCTTGGCCTTAGGCTCCCCATTAGCATCGTCCTCAGATGACCTCCTCCTTTTCCCTTTCCCTGCCAAATAAAACAGTTGAACAGTTAGGCCACATCTTGTATGATGACAGCAAATGACCAAACATGAGAGCAGGTGTCTCTCTATCCCAAGGATATCTGTAGCTGCCTCTAGGTTAGAATTGCTGAGGAGATGGAGTAGCTACAAGAAATGCAAGTAACTGATGAAGTGATCTGAAACTCAACATATTCAAAAAGAAATTCATAATCTTTCTCCCTCAAACTGCTCCGGCTCCAGGGTTTTCTTTCACAGCGAATGGCACCATCATCCTCCCACATATGCAAGTCAGACACACAGATGTCATTATTTTATTTATTTATTTATTTATTTTTTATTTAATTGGGGAACAGTGTGTTTTTTCCAGGACCCATCAGCTCCAAGTCAAGTAGTTGTTTCAATCTAGTTGTGGAGGGTGCAACTCTGTGGCCCATGTGGGGATCAAACCAGCAACCTTGGTGTTATGAGCACTGTGCTCTTCTAACCAACTGAGCTAACCGGCCACCCTGACTTCAAGTCGAGTTGAGTAGTTGTTTCAATTAGTTGTGGAGGGCGCAACTCTGTGGCCCATGTGAGGATCGAACTGGCAACCTTGGTGTTATGAGCTCTGCGCTCTAACCAACTGAGCTAACCAGCTGCCCCAGATGTCATTTTTTTTTTTCAGATGTCATTCTTAATACTTGTCTCCCTCATCCCTTCTAGATCTAATTTTTCACTGGTTTGTCTGTATTTACCTTTGCCCTATCCTTTTTGCACACAGAAAAATCTTTTTAAAATGCAAATTAGATTATGTCACTTCCCTGCTTAAAATCCTTTAATGGTTTTCCTCTGCTTTAGGATAAAGAACAGATACTCTACAAGGTCTTGCATGTCTAACCCCTGCCTATCTCTCTAACCTTATCTCATGGTTCTCTTTCCTTTGTTCACCATGCTTTAACTAACTGACCTGCTTTCGCTTCCTCAAATACCCTATTCTTTTCTCACTACATACTGTTCCTTCTGCCAAAAATGTTTATGCTCTGTACCCCTTCATACCTTACCTCCCTGGTTGGTTCCTATTTCCTGCTTCAAATCTGAGCGCAAATGCCACTTTCTCAAAGAAGCATGTGCCCCACACCTCCAGGTAAGTCCAGTTCCCTGTTATATATTTGCATAATACCTCATGCTTTTCCTTCATAGTACCTATCACAGTTTGTCAGTTATACATCTATATGGTTATTTGATTAGTGTAAGTCTCCTATACTAGACTTAAGCCTCGTAAGGGTAGGAACCATGATGGTTTTTCATCATTTTACACCAAAGTGCTTGGCAGAGTAAATACTTGGTAACTGCTCAATTGATTCATTCATTCATTCAACAGTCATTGAGGAAGAATCTACAATTAGGGCAAGTCACAACTCCGGGGTTCCAAATTCCTTACCTATCAAGTTCAGTTTAGGAACCAGGTACATGTCCTTTTCATTGATGACAAGAGTGGGGGCAGGTGGTGGTGGCCCAGGGTCTGAATTCTCAGTGGCAGGCACCAGTGGGCAACGCTGCACAAAGTGTGTGTCTGCTAGTCTCACAAATGTGTTTGAGACCTCAGCGTAGTCCATGGTCTTGCCATCTGTACAACAGGAGGAAAGAGGCAGGTGAGATGGCCTAAGATAGCTGAGGGTCTGCTCCTGCAGACAGCCCATCTATGCTTTTGCTAACAGCTGTGGATACAGTACTAACCCTCCATAGTCTCTGTGAGCCGGTCTGCCACTTTCTTCACGACAGCTGACATTGTCATTTTGCCATTAAGCAGCAGCTCCTCAACAATCAGCTCTCCGGTGTCATTGTACAGTGTTTTGGCGGTATAGATATACCGGGGGTACCTGAGGATTCGCAACACCCGGCTGCACTGGGCTTCATACTCCACTACACCACGTTTGTGCACTTGATATATCACCAGGTTATGTTGGATGAGGACACAAAGGGCTTTCTTTACCTAGGTAAGACCCAAAAGAAAGAGCAAAGATCTGGAGACAGCTTGTTATTGCTGGCAATTTTCGTCCCGCAGTTTACTAAGCATCAGGAGATGACCGGATAATTTTTGTGCTGCTTTCTTCCCTCCGCTGGAATAGCTAATAAGAATCATGCATCAATGGAAGAAACCAGGAAGATTCCTTGCTATGATGCTCATACTTCCTGATCTGTATCATTCAAAGTACAATTAATTTCCCTTCTATTATTCTCATTCCTTAAAGGTAGTACTGAAATTAGTAGACTCAACATGAATAAATGAGGTATGGCAAAGGAAGACCAAAGATTTGCCTAAAAGCTACGATGAGCTAGGAACACTTTGAGAAGCAGAACCAACCTTGGGGCCTATGCCTCATCCTTTCCCTCCAAATAACACTGTTCGGAGCCTAGAGCAGGCTTTCCCCCTTTCCATTTTGTAAGGTAGCAGGGGTAACAGTATTCAAAGGTAGGTAACAGAAATTAATGAAATAAAAGCAAATTAATATCATCCAAACATACCTGATCCAGCGATGTTCCTGTGTCATGGGCAATGACTCTTAGTGGCTGGCTGCCAGTTCTGATTAGGTGGACTCCAATTTTTTCCACGATCTCCCCAAAATGCTCTTGCAGCAACAAAGCGCACAGTTTAATTTCTGCTTGAGTCATTGTCCTGAGGGGTCTCAGAGCTAGGAAAAAATAAAAAGACTGTGTGATGGGAAGTTTTTCTTTTATGTTGGAAGTAGAGCTGCTGAGTATAAATTCAGGTACTTTCTGATGGGCAATCTGACATTACATAGCAAAAGCCTTAAAATGTTGCATACCTTCGATCTAATAATTTCATTTTGGATACTCTGCTCTAGGGAAATTATAAAAGGGTATCACTGTAGTCCTCTTTAGGATACTGATATACTAGAAACAACCTAATGATTAACAATAAGAAACTCATTCAATAAATTATGGTATACCCACACAGTGGAAAACTATTTCAACATTTAAAACATGCACTAGCATCGAAAAGTGTTCATTAAGTGAAAGAAACAGACTACAAGTCAAAACGTAGAGGAAAATTCAATAATGGAAAAAGCATGTATACATAGAGAAAAAAACTGGAAGACTAGATATACATCACATTTATCTTAATGGGATTGTAATTCTAGTTTTCTTTAAATATAGGGTTAGATGGTTTTGCAATGTCCACAGACTTTAGATTCAATACTTTGTTGTTTGGAAGAATTAAGGCCACTTCGCAGCCCACTGGGAGTGAACAGGCAGTGTTATTCCCAGTCTATAAAGGAAATGACAACTTAGAGAAGAAATTAAGAGGTAAAGGGGAGCTTCGCAACAGGGTGCTTCAAATAGGAAATGGGGTATGTTGTCTGCAGGGGCATAGTCTGAAATTTCTGCTTCTTGACAAAGTAGATACAGAAACACGTAAGCTGACTATATAATTACTTTCTAATGATCACAAGTGCTACCAAACATTGGCGTGTTCATTTATTTCTCCCAATTCCTCAGAAGCAAGTCTTTGCCCCTTGGCCTCCGTGTCCCGCTCCACACGTCTCTGGGGAAGCATCCCCACACCCTTCGCCATCCTCCGACAGGATTTGCAAGGGGCTTGGCTCCCGGCTCTTCACTCCCTTCACGCGGGTTCCCGTTCGGGACCAGGTGCCTTGGTCCAGAGAGACAGGGCCGCCTCGTTCAGGCAGCACTTTCCACTAACCTCTGGGTCAATGCAATCTAACGCCAACGAGCTCCCCGCAGCGACTTGGTGCGGCTCCTGCCACCGCTCCAGCTTGGGGGAGCCCTCGGCCCTTTCTCGCAGGGGTACGGGCACCGAGGAGGACCCGGAAAGGGGTAAAACGTGGGCCGCTCTACCCCAGAGTTTCGGTGGTTTCAGGAGACGCTCTTTCTTTCTTCTCGTTGGTAGGTTGGAGGACAGGCGAAAGGCTGCCGGAGGAGCCGGCGGGCGGACTCGGCTTCCTGTGCCTCCTCAGTGCTGGAGGCGGGCCTTGGGGTCGCAGTCCGCGCCGCCGCCCGGCCGACTCACGTGACTGACCTGGGCTCAGGAGAGGCCGGCACCACTGAGGAAGCGGCGGCTGAGGCGGCAGAGGCAGCGACTGCAGCTGGGAGCTAGCGGCCAGGCGAGGGACGGGCCGGCTGCCCTCTCGGACCGCCGCGGCGGAAGAGAAAAATGGCGGAGGCCTCGGCGGCCGGGGCGGGCTCAGGCGCCACCGTCGCCGCGCACCGGTTTTTCTGCCACTTTTGCAAGGGCGAGGTCAGCCCCAAACTACCGGTAAGACCCCAGTGTCTCCTGCGTTTGTCATTGGTGTGGATTCCTCGCCCCGAAGTCCTGGATTGGGTCTTAAGCTCTCCTCACACCCTTGAAATCGGTCTCCCAAATGCCGCTGCCCGCAGTCTGGTCGCTGGCCTCAGACCCCGGGCGTCAGGGACCTGGCTGCCCCGTGACTCCCAGCCTTTTCCCCCCTCGGATGCTCCACCTGCCCCTCACTCCCTCTCCTTCCTTTACCTGCTCCTCTCCCCTTTTTTCTTCCTTAGCAAGTTCTCTCCCCCCTGACAACTCTTCTCGGTTTTCTTGCTCTCTTCTTCACCTTGTCTCCTTCCCACAGTGACCTCCCCCTCACTCGGGACTCTCTCCGCTGCTGCTTCTCACCTTTCTGTATTTCCTTTTCCACTTTTCACCAGACCGCCTGCCCCCCCTCCCCCCGCCCCCAATCCTTAATGAAGCAAAATAGCGGATTGATGAGGATGGCCCCTATTCGCTTGTCTCTAGGGATTGGGGCACGGAAAGAAGAGGGTTGGAAGGTAACTGGGGCGGAGGGGGATTTTGCTCTTCAGTGGGTTTCCAGGGTTCTTGTGAAAGTGAAAACTGCAGTGTACTAATGGCTTGCAGACTGCGCTCCCTGTCACTATTGAAGGAAATGGCTTTAGGAAGAAGGCAGGACATGTTGTTTCAACTTGGTTATTTTGATTGTCGTGCTGCCAGGGCCTTTAGCACCATCTTGCGTATCCGCCCCTGCCCCATTCTGTCTCCCTCCACTTGGGGAAAAGATCCAGGACAGAATGCTGGGGACTTCATCCTCTGACATAAATTGGTTTTCACCAGTTTCTGCCAGACTGTCAGTCCCTAGAGAGGTCTATGGAGGTGAAGAAAGCGCTTCTGCAGCATGCTAGCCAAACCCAGAAGCTTTTTGGGTTGGCTTATAGCTACTTCAGGGGGACCCACCTGGGTGAATATTAATTTTTTGGCCAACCGTTTTTAGAATTAGTTATGGTTCTTTTCCTTACAAGTATCTAGGTTCAGTCTTAAGACGGTGTCTACCTGACAACTTAACTCTATAGAGTCTCAGATACAATCTGTGAGAAAGCCTACTAAATTAAAATATGTCTGTATGTCTTATTTCTTAGAAACGCAAATGGACTCCTGTGAATAAGCACCTAAAGGGTATTTTCACCTAAAAGTTGTACTTTTTTTTTTTTAAAGGCTTTTGTGGCATTTTCGTTCCTTTCTATTTGCCCCAACTTCATAGTTTTATCTTGTTAAATAAAAAATTTTTAACTTCATTGCCTGGGGCTAAAGTCTTTTCAACAGAAAGGGTTTTTTAGGCTATTGCCAGCCAAAAGAGCACACCGTCTTGGGGCATGGAGTCTAAACCACCAGCTTGGTAGGAAAGATGACATGTCCATCACCTCCGGAGTTTGCAAGCCGTTTTTAATACATCAGGTAGCAGGAAGGGGGAAGAAAGGTGTAAGCTGTCTGAAAAACTTTACATCCCATTAGCTGTAGGCAAAGGGGTGGGAAGCGGGGCCAGTTCTGGGGCCAGCTCTGGGATAGGTGCAGAGTCCACAAGAAGAAATGTCCCCTCCTGTGGATTGGCTGTGGGCAGCAGACCGGAAAACCCACGTGTAAACAAGAAGGAGGCTCCTGGAGTTCGGTGGTGCCTGGCTGGAATAATCTGCGGAAATAGCCACCTGGAAATTAATCCTAAATTCCTTCAGGCAGTGGAAGGAATGTGAGCAATTTTTTTGTCAGAGCTGGTCCACAGCTATTAATAGGCCAACTGTTCTGTCTCTCACTGTCAGGCCTCTGTAATTTTAATTTAAAACATCTCAGAATTTTCTTCTTGTCAGTCTACACGTTACTTAGTTTTGCTTGCCGATTTGTGCGCGCTTGCTTGCACCTGTGCTTTTGTGGCATGTTTCAGTGCTGGGAAGAGCAGGTGCCTTGTTTTTCTCCAGTGGACATCAGCGCCCCCAGAAATCTCACTTAACAACAGAGAGGGAGCCTGGAATTTGTCCAGTTAGTGTGTGACCACTGACATGTTGAATGTGATGCCTTGTTGAACATGTGGCCTTTGTTTTTCTGGTCTTTTTAAGTTGTTGTTTACTTATTTGCCTCTAAGAGGGAGAATACAGTCTAACTTTCCACAACTTTTTTTTTTTTAACCACCTGAAGTCCTCACTGCGAAGTGCTCTTGAAAAGGGATAATTTGAAAGACTTCGGGTGTTTTTCTAAACTTAGTTTGATGCCCAGAGGTGAAGTTATTGATCTTTTTTAGTCTGATTTATTATCTGTGATGCCAGCTTTGTAAATTGAGGCCTGACACAGTTAAATTTAACGGAATATTTCTACATACCACATACCACACGGTTCTCTGTTGGATATCCTGAAGGCAGTACCTAGGAATAGGTGGTTCCTGCCCTAAGGGACCTCAAAAAGACAAGACAAATATGGAATAGTTAAGGATGGAAGGTGAATGAGGATAGATAAGAAGTGCTTTAGAATTCAGAGAGAGGGAGATATGGTAGTATTGGTGAGGCCTGGGAAAGAGTGAGAGATGGGTTTTAAATTGAGTTCTGCAGGATACGTAGAATTCAGATTGAGGCCAATAAATTGCATAGACTGAGGTAGGAAAGGAAGAGTGAGTTGAAGAAGAAGGGAGAAACATTTAGTAAATCACTGTTACGCATTTTTAGGAAAAGGTGCAGTGATGTCAGGGGTAGAGGTTTCATTTGTAGATTAGACAGTGAGCTTCATCTTGTCTCATGGCCATGTCTATATCCTTAACTCAGACTGTCACCTTGAAAATGTTGGTTGTAAGAAGGACCAGGTCGGCAAGCGGCTGGTTCAGTACGAATCTGTTATCGAAAAACCAACTCAAACACTGTTAAGTCAGTAGTGTGGTTTTTATATGTATAGGACACACTGAAACATCGTTTAAAAATACTTTTTTATATAAACTTGAGATTCCCTCACTATAAGTACTCGGCATACATTAGACCTGCATTGTTTCTTCAGCTGGACGAAAGGTTTGGGAAACCTGGATGTCTTTTTGAGGCTAGCTAGACCCAGCTTAACACAAATAAAGTTTTTCTTTGTCTTGACTTATTTTGTATATCAAGGGGGTACTTTTGTGCAAGTTGGATCACCGGAACCATCACCCATGAGTGCTGTCCTCTGAACACTTGAGGCTGAGTATTGAGTTTTACATCAGCTTTTAATGAGCTATTGCTAGGTAAGTTTTTTCTCCCAGTCAGTGGGAAAGACTGCTTCACAGACATCTCACCTCTTGCCCGTTTATTCACTACATAGCAGAGTCATAATTGTGTTCAGTGGGACTAGGCTGCGAGGTTTTTACAGCTCTTTCTTTTCCCTTCCACAGTCTCTAGGATATAGCTCTTCTTGATACATCTGGAAGTGTGTGTAGACAATAGCAATAGCTTAACATTTGCCCTGAAACTACCTTAGGTTTTTATCATTTTTCTTGTCAGCCCTACTACTCTGAAAGATTCACAGGCCCAGCTAACTTTAGTGTTTATATTAGAAGAAATGGTTTTGGCCATAACTTCGAGAGAAATTGGAATATGCCTAAAGCTATACAGGTTAAGCCACCTTCGGTTGAATGAATTTGGTGAAGTAACTCCTTACTGCTGATTCTAATCTATCCATTTTAGCTTCGTGTGTCTGGTTTGGATTCTCCCAGATAAGAGAACAAAAGTTTCATTTAGAAAGAAGATAGGAAATGTGGGGAAACCATGAAGGGAATTTTACAATGAAAATAATCAGTGGTACTGTTAGCTGTTAGGCTTCAAAAGAGTCTACATTCTAGAAGTGAATATTGATTTAGAAAGTTCTTTCTCTATTTAAGAGTGTTTTCCTGTTTACGGTGAAAATAATTTCCATAAAATTTAGTGAGTACTAAACTTGGATTTTAAAACGAGATTTTGATTATATGGTCTGAAACTCCAGGGTTTCAACTTTATATATGATTGAGTAAAAGGGCATTGTATTTTTTTTTTGATCATCAGCTGATAGAAGAAATACTTAAGTAACTTAAAATTGTTTTCAAAACGAAGCTTCTACCGTGTTTCCCCCAAAATAAGACCTAACTGGAAAATAAGCCCTAGCATGATTTTCATTTCAGGGTGCTCGTAATATAAGCCCTACCCCAAAATAAGCCCCAGTTAAGACCGTCAGCCAGACATGACTGTATTTGAATAAGTGTAGTTTTTTGTACATGAATAAAGGAATAAAATGCGTTTTTTGGAGCAAAAATTAATATAAGACCTGGTCTTATTTCCGGGGAAACATGGTACCTCACCTGCTTGTCCCATTGAGAGACAATGTAACGCCAAACTGATGGAGTTAATATGCTACATTGAGGCTGTGTCACAGAATGTAAAGGTGTCATTCCATCCTCCCCCCCCCCCCTTTTTAAATCAAGGCCAGGGAATATTACCTTATGAGATTGACTCTGGTAGTCATCATTAAACAGGTGAGAGAAATCATATGCAGAGTAAACTACTTTTAGTATTGATGAGACTAGGGTGATTCTTAAGGGTTTTATGGAGATGAGAGTATCCAAATCAAGACAAGAGACCAGTCTAAGGCCTGCCCGTGTATTGCTCACCTCTGAGGCGCTCGCTGCCTGAAGGAATTAGCAGGCTCTCTCCCTCTCCCATCTCTTTATTATATCTCCTTCTTTGATCTAGTAAAATGTTACCCTTATTAATAAGTAATGTTATTTAGTTTGGCTTTTTACCAGGTGCTTCACAAGTCGTTATCATTGTGCTGTACTTGTAATGCATCTAATACAGGAAAACTTTCTAACTACTTTATAGTAAGAGTAGCTAAAAAGTAGATTTCTTAAAGACTTTGTGACTCTTAAAACGCTAAGCTCACTGGCCTTGCTTTTTAAGTTGCATGATTCTTAGATCCCAGAGCTGCATCTTAGTAAATTACAAGAGTAGTGTTGTTGAACTGGCTGAAGGAAT